AACGGTGGCGCTGGGGCGGCTGATGGGCGCTGATGCCCGTGGATCCGGCCGAGTTCCCTCGGAGTGACCTGGTGAGGGGCTGGCTTTCCCTGCTGCTCCCCCAGAGCTCTGCTGCCCCGTGGCCTTGGGGCCCTGGCGTTTCCCGAGGAATGGAGATGAATGCTCCGCAGCAGCTCTTTAATTGAGCTCATTTGGCGGGGTCAGGCACGGGTTGCTGAATTGACTGGAGGTGAAGGCAAGAATGCCCTGCATCTCTGCCAGGTGCTTCAGCCAGCCTTTCAAGGCTTTCCATGGCCCGGTTTGATTCCGCTTGTGCTTTGCCTCTCCAGGCATCAGTGTCCCGGTGGGGTTTGTAGCTGTTGCTTGGAGGCATCCAGCACGGCACTGGCTGCCCTGGCGCTGCGGGATGTGGGCTCCCCTCGCCTCGGACCGATGCTGGGAACCTCGAGGGATGCCAGCATGACCCCCACTGTGCTGCTGCTGCAGCACGTTTCTCCGCCCCCCCCGGCTGCAGATGCGCTGCAGGGAGGTGACCGGGGCGGCTGGGCTGGCTCCCGCTCGGCTCCGGCTCCCACTGCCTCCATGGGCTGCTCTCCGTGAGCTTTGCCAACCAGTGCTGGCATTTCCCATCCTGAGCGGGGTGGATGGAAAGCCCATCAAAATTCATTTGCTTACCCAGACAGGAGTTGTCGTCAGTGCGCTGCTGCAGCAGCTGAACTTTACTGATCCTCAGAACAAACAACCTTTCCAGGGGTGTTTTTGGAACCAACAACCTGGGGCCCAGGGGAGGCAGGAGCAGGCAGAAAGCCCTGCCTGACGCTTGTGCATGGCTGCCCGCACTGCCTTCCCATGGGAGCTGTGCTGGCTCGCCGGCGCTGGCACCGGCACTGCCGGGTCCCCAGTCGTTGGCACTGGAGGTTACTCCAGGTGTTCGGAGGTGAGGGGCAGGCGGGAGGCATTACAAGAACAGCAGCAGAGGTGTAAGAAAAACAGCTAAATCTGTCCCCAGCTCCCAGCCCTATGCCAGGCCCAGCCCTACCCACGCCTGAGGCAGGGAGGGACCGCTAAAAAATGGCAAGTAGAAATGAGAAAATAAATTAAAAAAAGAAAAAGAAAAAAGGAATTTGGGTGCAAAAGCTCCTGCACCAGCAAAATGCCCTTTCAGACTGGGAAATGGGCTCCTGAGATGCCCGGTCTGCAGCAGGGTACTCCTTGAGCCCAAACTTTTAAACTGACCTTATTTTTCCCATTATGAGGACGAATGTGCAACTGCCTGAGAAACCCCTAATTAAACAAAGGCTCACCATAATATTTGCTGGGAGCTTGCCAGCCTTGTAATGTGATGCTACCGGGTATCTTTATTAGCTGAAATGAGTATTTAGAGTCTCTGCCAAATTGAAAGCTGATAGACTCGTTTGAAAGTGGCACTGCAGCATCAAGCAAACGCTTCTGCAACCTGCCGATGAGGCTTGGCTGCGGCGGAGGGCGGCTGCGTCACCCTGAGCGGCAGCCGGGGGGGCCGGTAAGATGACCCTGGCGTCAGCCCCCGCCAGCGTGGCGTGGCACCTTCTTATGGCAGACGTGATGTCCCGCTGATGGAGCCGTGCATCGCCTTTCGGCTGGCGTTGGCCAAGTGGCGGGATGCCTTCTCTTCCTGTGGCGGGGGAACAATCGCAGCCGGGAGAGGCAGATCTGGCTCTCTGGCTATTACTGAAGCCAATTAACTTCTGCAGTGCCTAATTGCAGGCTGAAGGAGTGGTGCCTAGAGCGATGGGGAGCCCCTGAACGAGCCCCTTTGCAGAGCACTTGGAGCACAGGGGCTGCT